AATATAATGATGAAATATGATTTATTAATTACCTGCTTGTTTTGCTTCTTTTTTTGTTTGAGCCATACCTTCAAATATTTGACCATTGACTTCAACAGCCATAGTAAAAATTGGACGATGTGATGGACCTGTTTGTGCAACAAGTTTATATTCAACAGAAGGTTTAAGCTCGTGCAATAACATAAGTGCATTTTTTGAAGATGGTGATGTACTATCACCATTATTGCTATTGTTATTATTATTATTATTGTTATTTGCTGGTGGTTGATTTAATGAAGATGTCGAAGTTTGTGCTGGAGATATTCTCGCTCGTTTTTTTGGCCAAATTGATTGTTGTGAATCATGTAGATCATCACGCGTTCGTTTATACCCGTGAGATAAATTTGGTAATGTTTGTTGAAGTGCATTGTGTTCGACTAAAAGTATATATAATGATGTATCCTCTGTTAATTCCTTATAAAAATAAATGTCTTAAAACTTTCCATGCTCATCCTATGTTTTATCTTTATATGAGTTAATTTTTATTTATTCATACTGACATAATATGAAATTACTCGTGTTATATTCGATCACGAGTAATATGAAACGACAACAACTCGATGATTTGTACGAGTCGGGCAGCATGTCAATATTCATTATTATATTGAAAAACATTGTGATTGCAAACACATTGTGTAAAAATACGTGGTGTTTTCATAGTCAAGTCAGTCAAGATCATGAGTAGAAAGGGAAAAGAACAAAGAGAAGAAAAAAAAGGAAACTTACACTTGGCAGTTGTGCACAAGTTGAATGGATTGCTCAAAAGTGTAGTATTATATAAAGGGTATGTTGAAGAAGATGAAAAATCTGGAGGTACAGGTCCTAATAAAGTTGTCGTTGTAGTTCCACCAGAGGTAGATGTTGAAGTTGACAAAGGCATATATACAACACGGCCGAGTGGAAACATATGCATTTTTGATAGGGACGAACGATGATGTTGATTGAAAGTGCCACTGTGTATGGAGTTGTGTGAAAGCGATAATGTATAGCGTATCGCGTAGATAAGCAAAAATCCGTTTTATTACTATTCTCTCTGTAGCTGCTTACTGCCTCTGGCGGGTGTCAAACGCAGGGAAAGAGAGAGAGAGAGAGGCAGAAAGAGTGCGAAGGAAGAGAACAGAAGAGAGTTTTCTCTTTACTCTCCTTTCTTTTTCTCTGTCTCTATCTCAGTAACGATTTAATATAAATATCTTTGTCTGTTTGTACTTTTTTTTTTTCATTTCTTCTCTGAATCAAAACGAGACGCCGATGTTGTAGTAGTCACAAGATGAAGAAAAAATGACATTGATCATCATCTCTTTCTATACTTTAACGACATCGATTGTAGTCAAACAAGCGTATATGACAGAGTGAAACATTATTTTCTATTGAAAAAAAAATCTAGTTAATCAAGAAGAATGAATCCTAGCTGATGGGTGATGAAGTTCATCTTTTTTTTCTATTCCAGCTTATCAAATCTGTCAAGCGTGCCTGTCTTTGTCGTTGTCTTCTCTGTATGATTGATAATCGATGATTGTGTGTTATATAGAAACGTCTTTTTCTTCTTTTGCTGTTTTTCTTTCTCTTTTCCTCTCTTTCTCTCTCTCGCAATCGGAAATCGAATGACAAACAGTGAAGAGTAATGAGACGTTTGTGCATCTAAAAGATGCCGTTCTTTCCAACCATTGATCGAAATCGATACATTATTCTCTCATGCTTATTGCACGTTTACTCTAGTACATAAGAAGCCATCATACTCCTTCCCTTCACCATCAACTTATCATCATTAAGAGAATGACGTTTATATATATGTAGGAATCAACTGATTTTTTTTTATCCACGAAGGACGCTGTGTCTTTTCAGCACGCAATATCATTTGTATATGATATATACATCTAATTAGAATAGAGATCAACCAATATATATTTTCCATTTTGATTTTTTTTGTCTTCTTGGTAGTTGCCAATTTTTAGCCGTTTTTTTTCTTGCTTGAATAGAAAAGAACGACAGACAGAAGCAAATAAATGACAAGGAGAAAAAAGAAGCTTGACCAACAGCAAATAACTTGTTGATATAGGCTATAATATTTACTTTACTAAATTACGACTTATCGTTTTTTTTTCTGTTTTGCTTGTTTGCATCAAAAGGTTTCTTTACTTTTCTTTCTCCATTTCTTTTTCTCTCTCTCTCGCTCTCGCTTTCTCTCGCTTTCCATTTAACTATTGAAGTCTCTTTTTTCTATTTTGCTAAGCAAAAGAATTTTGTGCCGCTGCACAATATTATGATGGGTACTCGAGTGTGTAAAGCAAATGAGTATGGAAGAATTTTAAAAGAATAATAAACTCAACGTCGATGATGACCGACTATCAAGTGGCTGAATTAGTTTATTCAAACGAAACACAACGTCACACTTTAGAGAAAGGTGCAACATAAAGAACAAAAAAAAAAGAGTAGTGTTTGCTTACCTCGGCTGTTATTAAGACTAACAATTGATGTTGACGTTAGAATAGAAAAGTCGGAAATGAGTTCTTCAACACCTTTAATTTTCCCTTTTGAAGAGTCATTTTGGATACTATCGGAAAAACTAATCATGATTTATTAATCTAAAATATATTACGAAAACAATCTTATGAGTTATTTTTTTCTCGTTAGTAATCGTTTGCAACATTAACTACTTTTTATTCGAATAACTGACAGTCAAAATTATCTCAATAACAGCTACAAAAACAGATTCACACCTCATTTAGTAGTTTACTTCTATATTGTTTCCTTTCCTTTATCTCGAATATACATCACATGTGGTTCGCAAAACAGTTGGAAATTGTATATACACATATATATCACGTAATTGTATAGAATGTCACCCAGCTGTTAGTAACCTTATTGTCAGCTGTCAGTTTTTTCATTTCTATAATTATATAAAAAAAATTTTTTGGTTTTTTTTTTTGATATTTATTGAAGAATTTATTTTTTTTGCTTTTCGATTTTACATGTACAATGAAACAAAAGAAAATAAAGACATTCACATAATTAAAATGAGAACAGTATATATATATTCAGTTTCCGTCAAATATTGAACATATTGATGGATACATCATAAATAAATAGAATCCATATGGAAAGAATAAATTAACGTAATAAAATTGATTTCATGTGTGTATTTTTCTTCTTTACTTCATTATCAAGTACTTCCAATTTTCCAGCAAGACGATCAGTTAAAGGTTTTTGGCTTTCAAGTTCTTGATTCATTTGCATTGCAAGATATTTAAGACGATTAACACCTTGATGAACATCATCTAGAATTACGAAAAAAAATTATTCAGGAAATTTTTGTATTAAAGAATTTACGTAATCCATCTTCAGTTTCACGTTCCATATCATCCATAGTACTTCGTGATTTTCCAAAATACGTATCAGTATCATCTTTTGTATTGGTTGGACGTGTATCAGCAGCTGTTGCTGCCGCTTGTAGAGTTGGAGTTGGTTTCTTTTTTGCGGCAATTTGCGGTTGCGATATTGATTTTGGAAAAGTACTTTTTGGTGGACTAAAATAATTTTTAATTCCACCAAATACGGAACCTAATTTATTTAAGTTTCTTTGGGCATCAACCAAATTATTATCAATTCCATCACAACGTTTTTCAATATTTTCTAATTTTTCTCGTTGTTCAAGTAGTTCCTTTAAATAAATTCAAACATTTATATAAAAATACTTCAAAAAAAAATTTCTTTTTTTATTCATCAAACATTATTTATTTTTCTTAAAAATGTTTTACATTAGACAAATGAAATATAGTATTTCTAAGGACAATAAATACGTTGGGCGGGACTACGGAATAATAATATTACTTCAAGATGACATCAAACATATTGTAAACGATAACATTAGACTTCTTAATACACATTTCATCAATCTTTCAAAACATTCTCCGCTAATATACTTTTCTTACGCTTTTTCTCTTCTATAAATAAGGATTTGGATTCTTCGTGTCGATACACATTAGCTAATTAGATAAAGGAAAATTTTCTTTCGAGTATACGAACATTAGCTTTTATATATCTATACTTAAACTCAAGGACATGGGTTTGCTTTTACACAATGCAATAAAAGAACATCAATGATTTGATAAAGAATAAAAATAAAATATGAATTTTAATTTATAAAAGGTTCTTTTTTTTTTCTAAAAAAACTAATTTATTAATTGAAAAGTTAACTTACAGCGGCAGTATTATTACCAACAACTTCAGATTCATTGATCAAACCAAGCATACGACGTGTTGAATCAAGTATACTTGTTTTTTTCTCATAAATTTGACGTTGTATGGATTGCACATCATCCTGATTATGGCTTGAAACTGAAGTAGTCATTGTATGTTAGTGAAGACGAGTTACTTTGTTTTTGTACGGAATAAATATGCGCGATATATCATAAACAAGATATGACGTCATTAAAATAAACGTTTGCATCTGAGTCATTCATACTATCGCTACTATCAACGTTAATGAAAAAAATATAAAATAAATTCATATTTCAATATAATATATTTTCTAAATCAAATTTTTATTAAAATAATTTTTCTAATTCGATTTCATTCGCTAGTTGTCAAGTATTATGACTCATTAGAATAAACAAAAGAAGTATGAATCACTTTATCTTAGTCATTAAACGATAATTCTAGTATTTTTCTATTACTACGCAAACATTCACAGTAGAAATAAACATCTTAGTTTCGGTATTTGTATGACTTTAGTTTAGGATTTATTATCAGAAATAAATTTGTATGGATATATTTCTAAATTTTGTAATAGACTATTCTTATTTAATATTAGTTTTCAATGAGTTATCAAAATTAGATTTTCTTCATATTGAATTCCCATTAAACGCATAAGTAATAGCATATGAATTTATTTAGAATTAGTATAAGATAGCTTATGATTAAATTGCATAGATAATTATTTTAGATTTGAAAATTTTACAAAAATGCCTAATGATAAATGGTTAGCTGATCTTAAAACTACTCTTCAAGTTGCAAAAGCTCGTCTTGATGTACGAGAAAAGAAGAAAACAGAACAAGTTGCAAAAGAACGTTATACAGTTGCTGATTATATACGAAATAATAAAACTCCTCGAGCACGAATAGGTAAGAATGTATATCAAAACAAATTTTTAATAACATATTTGATTTTTTTAGCTGTTGAACATCTTATTCGTGAAGATTATAAAATAGAAGCAATGGATCGAGTTGAAGCTTATGTTGATACACTTCTTATGAGAATGCAATTGGTTAAAGATCGACCGTATGTATTTTTTCTCAATCACAAGTAGTTAATGGATAAATTTTATATTTTCTTTTTTAGAAAAAATGGTGCAGTTGATCCTGCTGTTGAACAACCATTAGCAAATATTTTATGGGCAGCACCATATCTTGCACAAGATATACCTGAACTTGGTCAAGTAACATTAATGTTTAAAAAACATTTTGGACCTGAGTAAGTTGTCAAAAATAAAATTTCGTTTCAATAAAAAACATTTTATTTTTAGGTATGTAACAATGTGCGAACAAAATAAAATTGGCATGGTTGACGTTGATTTATTACGATGTTTAAGTTGTGATTTAATACCGAAATTACTTATTGAAAAATATTTAGTTGAAATATGTCGAAGTCAAAATGTTCCATTTGAACCTGATCAAACTGTTATGGCACAAGATGAATTTTGGAATATTGGACAACGATATGTTCAACATCCAACTAGTAATGATGAAAAACGACCACCTCCACCACCGTCAACTGGAGGTAATTCATCAACAAGTGGTAGTGGATATGGTGGAGGAGCAGGAGGTGGAGGTGCTCATGCAAATTTTCCAAACGTACCTTCAGCTCAACCAAGTGCACCAGAGGTAATTTCTTTTGAATTTAATTGAAAATGAGTTTTCATTGATGATGAAAATATTTTATATAATCTTAATAGTTTGAAAAACCACCACCAAATTATTCACCTGTAAGTTTTTTATTTTCGTTTTAAATTATGGCTTCATATTTGGCTGCTCTATGCATGTTCCTATTGTTTTGCTTGTCTATTTAACATCAACCGAACTAACAAAAACTGAAAGAAAGATACAATTAATTGACACAAAAAATCTTAGTTTTACATAAGTTTTATTGAATAACTCAAAAAACATTCATCGAAATAAATTTAGTATAGTCAAACTACATTATCTCTTTTAGTGAAAGTTTAACGTTATTATTATAGTTAGAGAACTTATAGAAGTATTAATTTGTAATGCATATATTATTACAGGATAAATCAGATCAACTAACAATATATTTATCAGGAAAAAAAGACGTATGTATTGTAGTTTTTCCTATAAATATTAGAATTATTCGATTTAATAGTTTAACAAATTAATATATAGAAACTAGTATACTAAAATACATCTTTCGTAAATAATAGATCAATTTGAAACAAATCGATGATTTCGAAAGCCTGTTCAAGGTAGACATACCCATTGTTTGCTATATTCTTTTCCGCACGAACCATATATTTCTCTAATTTCTTGTCAAATATTATTATTGAAATTTCAATATTTTAGCAACAACCACAATATCCAAACATTAATTATGGTCCATCGATTCCACAACCACCACCACCATCATCATCATCATCATCATCAAATACACCACATATTGGTTTCAATGTACCCAATGATGCTAGATTACCATTTAATGATCCATTTCCTCAAGTACCTAGTGCACGTGATCATTTTACACCACCGCCATTACCACCATCTCCACCAACAAATAATGGTTCAGATGATCCTGGTTTTGATGATTTAGCTCGTCGATTTGAAGAATTAAAAAAACGAAAATAAATACAACAAATGAACTATTTATTTGCTTTACCAGTTGTATTACATCCTCGACAATCATCATTTTCTTTCATTTGACCACTTTTTTCTACTACTCCTCTTCTATTTATACGTATTACATTGACAGACAACGTAGTATTTTATCATTCAATCTTTTTTTGCTTTGTTTTCTATTCTTCATATTCGACGACGTATATTATATCTTACGTCTAATACTTGTCCTTTCTTTCTTTTGGATGAATATTTTATTATTACAACATTTTGTATGTAAAGACTTGTTTTTTTTTGCCTTGAAAAGTGATTGTCGAATAAAAAGAAAGAGCTTGACATTGATCATTAAACTTTAATTGAAAATAATTATCTTTTTTATTCTATTCAAATATCAAAATATGTTGTTATAGAAAGTGATACTGATCGGGTATAATTTATTTGTTCTATTGAATTTCTAATAAAGAAATCCTTGATTAAAAATTTTAAATTTCTTCATGTTTACATAGAAAAATGTGAGAAGAATCAATAAAAACTACACTATTGGTTTAAAAATCGCGAGTGTTCTTTTTCGGTGCCACATTATAATGTTGCCAGAGTAAAGAGAGAGGTATATGTCTCGACAACTAGATGTGTAATGGCTATACTGATGAAAAGAATCATGCAAGAAAAATATTTAAACTAAAAAAAACACAGTTTTTTCTTTAAATGGAATTAACACCGTATTCCCCAACTGACTATTCTGTTACTACAACAGATGCTAATGGTCAACGATTACCTCCAATTCGTTCGAGGTAAAAGCTTATCATTATTACTTCTTCTTCTATCTTTTTTTTTGTCATATATCTATTCAGAACGGATGAAGCTCCAGAATATAGAATTCATAATACTCGTTATACATTACCACCTTCAAATCTAGCTCGAGTAAATTCTATGTTTATTTTAGTTTTATACTTTTTGTTATTAAATTATTGATAGGATGTATCTGATCAACAAATTGGTGATATTGATTCGTGGCCAGCAAATGCAAGTGGTGGTAGTGGTGCTTTTCGAAGTTTAGTATTAACTAATCAAGGTCGTCTAGTACCAGTGGGAACCAATTTAAAAGGAAAATTAGATACAACACATAAACCTAGATTTTTAGCAGCTCTTGAAGAATATCTTTATAGTGAATTGAAAACACTTGGTGTTGAAGATTCAGTCGCTAATGATTCACGTTTACAAGTAAGAGATAGTTATTTGATCAGTTGAAATTATTTTCCTCCGCAGGTTTTTCGTGAAATATTTTCAACAGTTATTGATGATTTTAAAACTTATAAACCACTTTTATCAGCAATTAAAAATGAATATGAAATGATGTTAACACATCTTAATGATAAAATAAATGAACTTGAACCACTTCGTGTAAGTGATAAAATTTTTCTATATAATTAAATTCATAGAATTAGTTTGGTTTTAGCAACAATTAGTTTTACTCAGTGATCAATGTGATAAAAAATTAATGCAATATCGTAAAGAAGAACGAGCAGATATGTCATTATTAAAAGAAGAAAAAAAACGTTTACAACAAACCATTCGTCATATAACAAATCAAAATCAAAATCTTGAAGCAAATATTAAACGAGTAAATAATATAAAGTTCGATTAAATATTTAAAAACATTTTTTTTTTAGCTTCAACAAGAAGTATCACATCAATATGAACTGTATCGAAAAGAACTTGATTCAAGAAAATTATTAATTAATGATGCAAATGATTTACGTGCTCAACAAGAACAACGTAATGAAATCAAAGAAGGATT